CGTCAGACCCTCTAGAGTTTACGCGAGAAATGTCTTTTGATGGAGCAATGGTTGAAGCTGTCATTCCCCTCCACTACTGCCTGCCGCTAAGGAGGTGTCCGACAGCTGCGTGCCAGCTCCAGGCAGGAGTGCCCGGAACCTCAGCCAAATAGCAGACACCCTGAAGACAAAAGTCTGGGTCAGTGGGCAGGAGAAAACCACCAGCTGGGAGCCACGGGGGATGCCTCTGGGCTGCCTTTCTTGACAGGGTGGGATGAGCCCTGGAATCACAGCTCCTGGGGAAGGCTGGAATATTTGTCTGAGGATGACGTCTGCATCAGGGCAGTCCTTTGATGTGCTTTACCAAGGCACCTGCGAGGCACTTCGGGGGAGTGGGCGTGCATCCACAGTGCCCCCTTTGACAGTGCCCCTTCATGGAGAGCCTGCCTGCTAGCCAGCAAGGCCTCACTGCCACCTTATAACTCACGCTCCTCCTCAAACTCCACTTGCTGCTCCATGAACACAAGGCCTCGAGGCTTTCTGGTAAAGCCCGCACCCCCGAAGGATGGTGGAACGGGGGGGGGGGGGGGGGGGTGCACAGAGCCACTCCAGGCTTCACTTTCCACCTTCTTAAGGAGCGGCTGCTATGATTCGTTCCCAGCAAGCAGTCACCTGATGCCTCACTTCATAAAATGTCACTCTTGCCAGAGATTTCTTTTGTAAAGGCTTTGGTAATTAAGTAAAATTAACACTTCTTTAAAAGTCCTGATTAGTCTAACTAAGTCAGAGTCCCACTAATTGCCTGCAAAGAGAATGAGGTTGTACTGTACTCCAGGTAAGGTCACATTCTGCTAACAATTGGAAATGCGACCCGGCGGTGGGGGGGGGGGGGTGCAGGGGGGCGGCAGGGAAACCAATGGTAATTCATGGTGGGAGTAAAATTATATTTGTGCTGTCTCAATTATAGTTGTGTATCTCTTGGGACCAGAATGATCTGGATGGTCTGACACTGAGCTCCCCAACATTCACAATCACGTATAAAAAGGAGAGGGGGAAAAAAAAACTCAGAAAGCTACGCTCAAATGACATTTTTAATAATGTATTCAGGAATCAGGCTTTTAAAATGACAGTCTCATTGGTGGCATCTCTTACGCGGGTGCCAGTTTCTCATTAGAGCCTGTAGCCAGGCGTTGCAAAGGTCAGCCTTCCTGCCATGTGCCCGGACCCAGGCGGAGGCTAATACTGGGTTCTCGGCAGCACCCAGTGGCCAGCCCTGTATCATCTAATTTCAGTTATTCATCCTCCTAATCAGCATGCCATGCACAGATGAGAATAACAGGCTGGACGGAATTGCCCTTTGCTCTTCTGGAAATGCTCATTAGAAGGGGTCCGGAGATATATCTGAAGAGCAATATTCTTTCTCTCCAACCACCAGGCTGAGCTAATGAACCCCAGTTCCCCATTAGGAAATCATCAGGTCCTCGCAGGGCGTCACCCAAGAAGAACTAGATGCCTCATTTTGTGCGCCCAGGTGAAATGAAACCGCTTCCTAATTTAATTAACTCAAAGGTAAAGGTTGGGAGCCCGGGCACCAATCACACCACACAGAACCGAGGAAATTGCTCTCTGCAAATACCATCTGAATTTTCTGGCCCAGCCCCACCCAAGAGCATGGTTCTCCTGCCTCCAGCAGCTCCCAGCCGTTAGGGGGGGGCAGGGGGGGTGTAGAATCAGCTCGGCAATAGAGGACTCAAAAAAATTTGTCACTAGGATACAGTGACACCAAGCCCACATTTTGCGGTTAATAAAACAAGTCCTGCATCCAGCTTGGCGTGAGGCCCTGATGTGATTTATTTCCAGCCAAGCTGGAGGGCTCACAGGCAAAGCTGCCATTCATGAACGCTTCAGCCGCGCAGGAAGCCGGGGTCTCCGGTGGGAAAACCGACAAGAGGCAGAAACCCGACAGTGGCAGAAACGGCTCTCGCTGACTTTTGCAGCATACCGAGCCCTCCCTTTTTTTTTCCTAAAAAGAGAAGATGTACTATTGCTGTTTTACTGTTTTTTTTTTCTTTTTCAAATGTTAAACCTGAACAGGTTTACCTACAAAATCTGTTTAGTCGGAGATTTTTCTCCACAAAGGTATCCAGTGTGGGGGCTGGGGGGGGGGGGGGTGAGAAATGGGAGGGATGGAGGGCAAGAGAAAGAAAGCTCATCAGATTATCTGATTTAACCTGCTCAATCACCAAACGCTTGATCTCCCCTCCCTCTTCCGTGTAACTGAATATGAGACACATAAGACTTTCCCAGAAAAGTCTACATACAGCCTTCAAATTTAAGATTTCCTGCTCCCAGTATATTACCAGGGATTCATTCTAAAATGGCACACCTATACCCTGTTCAGTTCTCTTTGGAGGAATGGAAGAGGGCAGTGGGTAGTTAAAAATAAATAAATAAATAAAAAGCAAGAGTACCCTTTAGGGAACGCGTTGTATTTTTTGAAAAAAAAAAAACACAAAACTTTTTATTAAATTAACCTGGGGGGCATATTCAGGAAGAGAGGTAAAAAAAAAAAATGGCCTTGGAGGATGCAAAGTTAATATGCAGACTTTAGCATACCCCCTACCTTTCTCCTCGCTGCCACTCCTCCAAGCATTTCCAAATGCCTTCTCTCCCCCCACCCCCGCCCCATTTCCCGAAGAGGTTCGGTTCTCTCCGCCCAAGCCCGAATCGGCTCCGAACACAGCCGAGTCCCTCCGAGCTCCGCGCCCAGCCCGCGCCGAGCCGAGCCGTGCCGAGCCGAGCCGAGCCGAGCGCAGCTCCATCGACTTTTCCGGCCTCGGCTGGGCGCTGTCCACCACTCGCAACGCCTGAAACCTCACCCAGCTCGGGTGGCGAGGGCTTCCACGGGGCTGGAAGCCCGCCACTGCAGAAGCCCAGACCTGGGGAAGCTTGGAAACGCGTGCCTTGGGCAGGAAGGGGCCGCGGCGCCGCTTGCATGTAGCGATCTGCCAGGGCCCCAGGCAGATGCAACATGCACCTTGTTGCAAAGAGCAATTCCCTAGGCTCCTCCTCCCCATCCATTCGGGTTGCACAAGCTCCAAAGAAGCCCCGGGCTGAACTACCCCGTGGCTTGCAAGGGTGCGGCCAGCCCGGGGTGTGTGTGTGGGGTGGGGGGCTCGGCAAAGAAAGCCCCCACTGGAGATCTTTGAACCAAAAAAAATAACATGTCAAGCAGAAGGGGTGGGGGAAACTCTCCGAGCCGCTACTCCCTACCATCATGGCGCCGCCTAGAACCCGCTTGTCATGCCTGTTACACATGCAAGATTTTTTTTTTTTTTGCATCTTGGCCCAGAAACCGCAAGCATGCTCCCACCCACCTTTCCACGAAAGGGTTTTTTTTTTTTTTTTCAAATTTTTTCCCATTGTTTTCCTACGGGATGCAATTACTTCGGCTATTCTGTCAAGTCGAAAATTTAAAAAAAAATCATTTTTGTTTACTGCACGGCAACCTCTAATTAGGAGCTGTGTGTGCACGAAGGTGTCACAGCAAAGCCAGCCAAGCGACCGTGGAAGCCCAGCTAAACGGTCTCATAAACGGTCTAATCAAGGAACTCCTCCGGGGCGACCCGACAGGCCAAGCAAGGGAAGCAAGCGGGGCAGGCCAGCGGCGGCGGCAACCCACCCGGGGTGTGCACCCCTTCCTCCTGGCAGGAGACGGGGGGGGGGGGGGGTGCCCGAAAAGCTGTCCCGTGGGCCCACCAGGAGCTGCAGAGCAGGCGGATGGGGCCAGCCGCGAGCCCGCGAGTGGGAAGGAGGGGCGAGGCTCCTTCTTGAGAAAGTGGGGAAGGAATATCCCATTTTGTTTTAATTTTCAACCATCACTCAAATCCACCCCCAGTTAATTAGGAGGGGAAACTGATATCTCAGGCGAGGTGGGGGGTGGAGGGGGGAGGGGGGGCGGAGGGAAGTGGGGCCTGACATCTCATATGTGTGGGGAGATTACATGGAACGGCGGAAGAGAGGGTGTAAATAAATACATTGATAAAGGCCACGGAGTGAAGAAAACGGCCGGAGCCTGGGGATCAAATGCTCTCGGGGAGGGCTGCTGGCTGGGGGCGGGAGGAGATGGGGAGGGCGGGGAGGGATGAAGGGGTTTTGCACAGCAAGGGGTGGGGGGCCCTTCCACCTCGGCCAGCCGGTCCAGCCACATGCACGGGCGAGATGCGCTTCCCTATCGCACGCTCCCCCTCCCCTAAATCCAGGTCGGTTAGAAATCAGTGCCCCCCCCCCCCCCGCCCCTGGCCGAGTCTCCCGAGTCTCTGCACGCCAAGACACTCCATCCTCCCACCCCAGTCCAGGGCCCCGGCCCCCTCCATGGTGTTTTTCGTGGTTTTCTTTTTTTTTTTTTTTTTTTTGGCCAAGTTCAAAATCGCCGCTGGCCCGGGAGAAGGGGGAGGCTGGAAGGTGGGGGGGGGGGGGGTCGGGGGCGGAGGCGAGGGGCTGCGGGGAGGCCGGGACGCGGGGCGGGGGGGGGGTGTGGATGGGGCGGGCGGGAGGCACGGCGGCTTCCCTCCAGCCCAACCCCCCGGCCCGGCCCGGCCCGGCTCGGCTCGGCTCGGCCCGACCCGGCCCGGCCAGCAGGCGTGATGACCAGAATCCGGCCCGGAGTGCGAGGTTCTGATCAATATGGCGGACACTGTCATTCATACAACTACGGACGCTCCCCCCTCCCCTCTAAGGGGAGATGGGGGGGTGGGGTGGGGTGTGTGGGGGGTAACAAATAAATGCAACCCCAAGAGTCGGGGTGGAGGACCCGGGACCAACGCGGGGCGTGGTGGGGGAGGGGAGCAAAGGCTCTGGGTGTTGCGCCTGTGTGTGCAACGCATTTAAAAACCGGGCCTGGAGCGCAATCGGAAGTGAGCAGGGTACCAGGGATGATTTTAAAACATATTACATATATCGAATATATCTCTATGTTCCGAATAAAAGCACACATACATCCCAATGCCACGGGGACTTACTTCATCTGCTTCACAATGGTGCTTTTTCCTGATTCTCCAGCCCCTGTTGGGACAGACAGGGTGGGGGGGGGGGGAGAACCTGGTAAGTGTCAGTTTCAGGGGAGAGGGTGGTGGGGGCGGGGGTAGGGGATAAGGCATGCGACGGGGCGGGGGATCCTAGCCCACCTGGTGGCTGCCAACTCGGGGCCCGGGTCTCTCCTCCCCTCCCCGGGTTCGGATGAAGTGGGGGGTGGGGGTGGCTGGCGGGGCTGGGTGCTGGCGGCGCGGGGTGCTGCGGAGCGGCCGGGGTCGGGTCGGGTCGGGTCGGGGGTCGGGGTTCGGGGGGGTGGGCAGCGCCGGTCCTTACCGAGCAGGAGTAATTTCACGTCTTTGGCGGCGCTGATGCCATCCTCTTTGAGGTTCTTCTCAATCGCCTTGCTCCGTTCCAGGGCGGCTCTCTCCTCTGCGCTCAGAGTACATCCCATGGTGGCCCCTTCCCTGCCACAGCCCGCACGACTCGGCTGGCACGGCTCCCCGGCTCGGCGCGCCCCCCACCCCCCCAGAGAGCAGAGCCTGGGCTCGGAGAGGGAAAAATCACGGTCAGCCTCCCCTAGGCTTGAAAACGGGGAAGAAGAAAAAAAAAAAGAAAAAAGAAAAAAAAAGAAAGAAAAAAATAAATTTTTTTTTCCCCGAAAGCCGGCTCACCCCCTCCCTAAAAATCACCAGCCGCTCCCAGGCTCCCGGCGGCGGCCGAGCTTTCGCAGCTGCAGGCGGGGCTCCGGAGGTGTCGCGGCGGGGTCTGGGGGCGCCCGCGGTCCGAGGCGTGCGCGGGCTGCGGGCAACCGAGGCTGGTGCACAAGCCCCGGATAAATAACAGTCGAGGCAGGCGCCGCAGCCGGGGCGGCGGAGGGCGGGGTGGGGGGCAGGGTGGGTCCTGCTGCCGGAGGAGGCGACGGCGAGGAGTGAGTTCGGGGGGTGCTGCTAGTGCTTGTGCATCGCCGGCCGGCCGCCGTCCGTGCGTCCGCGGCGCCTGGGGCCGACCCCCGCGCGCGCGGGGCAGGGCTGGGCAGGGGGCCGGGCGGGGGGCAGGTCTCTAGCGGGAGGCGGCGGCGGCGGCGGCGGCGGCGCGGTCTCCCCGAGCTCGCATCGCGCGCAGAGCCGAGCGCAGAGAGGAGGGCGAGCGCGAGCGGGCGAGCGAGCGAGCGAGCCGCGGGCAGCCGGGAGCTCGCGGTGGGGGGGGGGGAGAGAGAGAGAGAGGGAAAGACGGGCGGAGAGGGAGGGGAGGGGGTAAAAAAAAAAAAAACGAAGCGGGCGCGAGCGAGGCAGCGAGCGCGCGCGCGCCACAGCCCGGCGGGGGAGGGGGCGGCCCTGCGCACCGGCCCCGCCAGCCGCGGGTGACGTCACGCGGCCGCGCGCCCGGCCCCCCGGGCGGGGAGGGGCGGGGCTGGGCCGCCAAGCGAGTGCGAGTGCGCGCGCGCGCGCGCGGTGGGGGCCCGCGTCAACCGGCGGGATCGCGCGCGCTCACGGCTTCCCCGCCCCGCCCGCCTCTCCCCCGGGCCGCCCCTTCGAGAGGGCGGAGCTGGCGCCGGGCACGCGCCGGGGCGCCCCGCCCCGGACACGCCCTCCGCCACGCCCCACCAACACGGTCACACCCCGGCCACGCCCCTTCGACCCAGCCCGGCCACGCCCCCCGGCGCGCGCGCGCGCCTCTGTCGCCTCCTCGGGCCCCGGGAGCGCGCGGGGCTGGGCGGCCGGCGCCCGGGTGGGGGTTGAGGTGGGTTCCCGCCCACCCTGCGCCGTGCCCCCAGCGGCCACTTGCTCCCGCCGCTCCGACTTCTCTCCAGCTTGTGGCTCCCTTCGCGGTTTCTCCCCGAGGGGCCGCAGCCCACGGGAGGAAGGAGTGGGAGCCAGGAAACCCGCGTTCCCGAGGACGCACTGGGCGTTTAGGGAGCATCTATCTAGCAGGGGCGGAGGGCACGGCGGCGCCGGATGGAGCCCCGGCCCCCCTCAGTGTCCACTCACAAGCCCGCCCCCACCCTCACCCCCACCCCCCTTCACGGCAAGTTTGCAGAGTGGGGGGTCAGAGCGGCCCTCGGGAGTGTCTGCGCCCACTGCGCGGGACTTGGGAAGGTGGAGCTGGGCGCTTCCCGCAGAGTTCTCTGGATCTGTCCTTTCCCCAAACACAAATCTGTAAAATGCATCTCAGATAAACTCGTATTTCACCTTGTGCGTTCTTTTCCATCTTTTCCATCCTCCCTGGCCCCATCGTTCTTCTCAAAACAAGACCCAGAACCCCGGGTCAGTTACTCAGCATCCAGCTCATCAAGTGCTTAGGAAACCCGGGCACGTTTGCCAAAGATCGCCATGTTCTGGGTGGTCTCAGCGTTGCTGAAGAATTTGGTTCTCACTGTACGAAATAGTTTTACAATCGGTTCCTCCAGACAACCCCCGGGGCCCCTCCTGGGGAAAGGGGCAGATAGGGAACGTTGGGTAGGGATCAAGGAGGACAGCGACCTGGGGGAAAGTTCTCCCCTCTCCCCTCACACTGGGGCATTTCTGTGGCTCTAAAAACAAACTTGTTTCAACAACAGGAAAAAACAAAACACCCTTGTTTTGGAAATGTTACCCGGCTTAAAAATGCTTTAGCAATGAGAGGAAAAGGCAGTTTAAGACCCACCCAGAAGAAACATTTTTCTCCCTCAGGATCTTTTAATTTGTTATTTCCCAGTGTGGATTTGCCTCGTCCTACAAATAACTATTCAAAAAGTTGCCCCTAACTTGAATATTTAAATACGAACCACATTTTAGTATTGTAGCAAATTGGTAAACTCAAAAAGGGTTTTCTTGTAAATTAAGTTACTTTACTTCCCTGGGTGTGTGTTGAGGATGGAAGCTTAGGAAAGAAATCTGGTTTGTTTAAAACGGGACTGTCACTGAAACTCAGCCTTTAAGATTCCCAAACCGAGTTTAGGGACACAACATTCTATTGACTCTTACTTCCTCTAGGTTGCTAGGATGATGATGCAGATCTAGAATAAGGGGGGAAATTCAACATCTCACCCAGATTCTGCTTCTGGGATCTACAGGGTTGCATCTGACATGCAGCAGAGGTAAGAATGGACTCAAGTCACTAGATGGTGGGTTATGCTTTAACATCTTACACCAAATCAGATTGGGGGTGGGGAAGGGCAATGGCTTCCAGTTGGTGCTTGGAGGCCACAGGCCACTCCCACGTGTACCCTGGGTGGTTTGGTGCTGCTTGGGTCCGGTGTTACCTGGGACCTCCATGGCCACCCAGGAAGTGCTTAGGTGCCTTTGGGGTCATCTCAAGTCCACCACCTCAAGGTGATTGAGGGGAGCCCTGGTTTTAAATTTAAGGTCTTCAATTCTTTACCTCGTGGCTTATATCCTTACTCCTTCCTTTATCACACCTAGTATATGCCTTTGTGTGTGGGGGGAGGGTAGGGGGACCCCCCACCAGGCTCAAAACATGTAGGGCTTGAATCAAATGCAGGTCCCATGCATACAAAGCATTTGTTGCAACTCTGAGGACCATCTTCTGGGTGGTATCATGCCTAACTATGGGAGAGAACCAAACCGTGTTTGGTGTTTTGTTTGTTTGTTTTTTTACTCGGTACCCACCTCCTGTGTACAAAGTAATGTTCTGGACACTACGGGTGTGTTTGGGGTTTGTCTACCCGCTTTTCCTTTTCTGGGTCACTTTGCCTCTTTTTAGTGGGCTTCCGTAATAATCCTCTTTGTATAAGGCTTTTTGGCTTAGAGAGCACTTTCACAAAAATTATCTCATGATCCTCCCACATAAACCTCAATTAGGCACTGCCTATGGGAAGAGGCCTGGTGCGTGGATAAAAGCCTAGTCTATAAATCCAGATCAACCTGGGTACCCATTTTACAGCTAAGATAACTGAGCTGCTGCTGGTTTGAGTGACGTGTTTAATGTCATGTCACTGTCGTTGTTAAACAGCTCGCCCCTGCTCTTCTTCCGGGTTTTGTAAACTATTGGAGCAGTGGCCTGTTATTGTAAAACATGCTTCCTATTAGCACAGAAAGTGTAGGACCCCCAAACCCAGCCCCCAGGGGCCATACAGGAAAGGAGGATGAGAACATCTCAGTTCTTTCTGCGTTATTAGATAATACCACAAGAGTTTAATTTGTCTACAATTAATTCCTGTGGGAATGGGGAAATTACAATCCTAACAATAGGAGGGGCCCAGTGCTGATTACGTTTGGTTTTATTTTATGAGATCTTCAGAATTCTATTGCTCTGTTGATTTCTATTGGCCAGAGGAGACTTCCCTCCCCTCTCAGCATTGCCACACACATACTACTCAGCATATCTTTCACTTTAATATCAGGGTGTTTGCTTTGGAAGGTAGTTTATTTGAAATTACAATGTTACTTTTAAAATTAAAATGTTTTATGTACACTCTCAAAGGAACAACAGGAAAACCTACATTAAGTTGCTTTTCACCTCATGCGGTACCTTCTAATTCTGCTAGATGTTAATTCATGATATAAACAAGATTCCCCCAGCTCTGACATAGAGGACGTGGACTCTGATTTGATTAACTGAATTTCCCTATTTGTTCCGTTTTGTGATTACTTTAATTAGTGCGTGCATATTGACAATTTACTATGTCAGATATATTGATTACGAAGCGAAGGGAGGTTTGCATTGGCGCTTAAATCCTTGAAATAGTGAAATCTCTGGAATGTTTTCTTAAAACCATTCTCATCAGAATCAGCTGGGTTGCTTGTTAAAAATTCCATTACCCATCTTCCTTTTGCCAAGTCAGGCTCTTCTGCAGTCTGTATTGATAGCCACTCCCCAGGTGATTTCTCTGTACATAAAGTGCTAGATCAGGGGCCAGAGCAATAGTACAGCGGGGTAAGGCGTTTGCTTTGCACCAGGCTAACCTGGGTTTGATACCCGCTACTCTAGATGGCCCCCTGAGCCTCGTCAGAAGTGATCCCTGAACTCAGAGCCAGGAGTAAAACCTGAACACCTCTGGGTATGACCCCCTCCCCCCAAACAAACAAAAAACAAAACGAAATACACACAAAAAATGCTAGATCTTATGTAAAATCTCTGTGTGCCAATTAGTTCTGCTAGGAACTCTTTAAGTCCTGATATTTCACATGCTTTTGAATCCAACTTTTCTTTTAATTTACTAGGTTGATTTTTTTTGTTTGGTTTTGGGTTTCTGTCCAAAAAAAAATAAAACCATATTAAAATTATTGTTCCTTATGAACACTACTGTCCTTGGAACAAGATAGGTTAAAATGTATGATTTCATGAGAAAAGTGATTTTTTTGTTGTTGCTGTTGTTGTTTGGGCCATATCCAGTGGTGCTCAGGAATCATTCCTGGTAGGACTTCACAGTCACTGTCACTGTCCCCTCATTGTTCATCGATATGCTCGAGCGGGCACCAGTAACATCTCCATCATGAGACTTGTTGTTATTGTTTTTGGCATATAGAATACTCCACGGGGAGTTTGCCAGGCTCTGCCATGCGGGATACTCTCGGTAGCTTGCCGGGCTCTCTGAGAGAAGCAGAGGAATCGAACCTGGGTCGGCTGCATGCAAGGCAAACACGCTACC